CAGGATGGATAAATCTAAATACTAGAGATTCTGATTGTCAACAAGGTTTGTATTTCAAATCACTGGTTTCCATGGTGAATTATGGTAACTATAATTATCATTGTAAAAACAATGCAGCATGTGATAAGAGCACTGGTGTTTGTCCAAATAGAGATTGTGCACCAGGATGGATAAATCTAGATACTATAGATTCTGATTGTCAACAAGGTTTGTATTTCAAATCGCTAGTTTCCATGGTGAATTATGTAACTATAATTGCCATTGTAAAAACAATGCAGCATGTGATAAGAACACTGGTGTTTGTGTGAATGGAGATTGTATAACAGGATGGATAAATCTAGATACTATACATTCTGATTGTCAACAAGGTTTGTATTTCAAATTACTGGTTTCTATGGTAAATTATGTAACTATAATTGTCATTGTAAAAACAATGCAGCTGATAAAAATACTGGTATTTGTTCAAATAGAGTTGGTACACCAGGATGAATTCTTGTGGTTGTTCTTGTGCAGCTACAAATGGCTAGAGTCTTCTCAAAAGTCATGTGATCTATAACAGGACATGGGGTTGTATGTGTTATTCAGTTAGTTTGATAACTTGACTTTATCTGTCATTATATAATATGTGCATGGCCATATACTAGGGACACAGACAGGGCATTTATTTAGTGTATATAAATAACTTCAATGCTAGTGAGTATAGCAATGGGATATCCCTTACACTGCAATATAAAGTATCCTCAACATTTAACATCTTTATTCTTTTATCAGAGGCAAAGTACTTGTCATGATTGCGAGTTGTAATTATATTGTTGCGTTACTTGTATGTATGTGCTTGGCTGTTTGCTCGTATCATGTGACTTCCGTAGTTGTTGCATTTGATACATGGCGCATATACTACTTCGTATGTCAAACTCTACAAACCAAATATACTGGTATCTGATAAAATAGCTTTTAATAATGTGATTACTAATCTTGAGTTGTTTTTGTACTATTTTATGTTAAGATGGTAGTCCTAAACATAAAAGCTTTTCCTATCACAAAGTCAACCCTGGTGAAGAAACGCATTTCATCTGTGGAATCATTGGGAATCCTGTGGTATCAAATAATGAAATGCAATTGTGGAAACTAGGTACAACTGACTTCTTGTCTCCTACTCATTATGATGATGATGACAAATATACTGCTATTGGAAATTTCACTGTTGCTGTTGTTCAGAATGATGATGTATATTTCTGTGGTGCTCCAGATATTGGATTTAATGGATTCTCAGTTACTGTAAAACTATATGGTAAGTTTATATATATAATAACAATTAAATTATAATAATTAACTTTATTGCTATTATATACCTTATATACCTTATTATAGACGATTATATATAGAATTTTGAGTAAAATGCAATACAGATGTGAAGAAAAACAAGCAATTAAAGTGAGAATAAAAATACACACAAGAAAATTAAAAAAAAATTACAAGCAAATAAAAAGTAGGGGGAAAAAAACGGTAATTGGATTGTTTTCCATATTTGTGTTTGTGAATATTTGGTTTACTAATGCATGTACAATGTACATGACCTTATTTTGAGATAGTTGTTTTCAGTTTTTCCTCTTGTTTTGAAACAGTTTCCTATGTATTTTGGTATTTGTATTATTGTTTTCTCATCTTCATTATTTAAAACATTTTAGTTTTTTAGCTCCGCTGTCGACTTTGTCGAGTGGAGCTTATCATATGAGTGATTGTCTGTCGTCGTTCATGTCAATGTTTTACTTTTTCGACTTCTTCTTGAAAACTACGAGCCTGAATGCTTTGATACTTGGTGTATATGTACCTTGGGTAGACCCTTCCTCAGATTTGTTCATTTCGTGATGTTATCTTCAATTCTCTAATTTTGGTGAATACTTTTGTCATTTTTGGTAAAAAATGATATTTTCGACTTCTTGTTAAAAACCACAAGTCCAATTGCTTTCATTTGGTATTACATATATAGGTACTACATGTGGGTCCTCTCTCAGATTTGTTCATGTCATGATGATATCTTTAATTCTCTAAATTTAGTGATTATTTTTTTAATTTTTGGTAAAAAGTGATATTTTCGACTTCTTGTTGAAAACCAATAGTCTGATTGCTTTTATATTACATATATAGGTACTACATGTGGACCTCTTTCAGATTTGTTAATATCCTGGTGATATCTTCAATTATCTAATTTTGATGATCATTTTTGGTGAAAAGTGATATTTTTGAATTCTTGTTGAAAACAGCAAGTCCTGTTACTTTGATACTATACATATTGTTCATTCTCTAATGACATCTTCTGTTCTTTAATTGCAATGTGCATTGCTAACAGCAGAGCTATCTCAGCCGACAGGCTGCTTGTTTTTATTTTTTGCTAAATGTGGAGGTGATAACAGCTGATAAAATTGTAATCACTATAAAATAGTAGTGTTGTTTGTCTGCTAATATAGCATATTAATAATCTGTAAAAACTTTATACAGCATCTGTGTATGCGAGTTTTTTTCTTAAATAGTTAACTTATTGAGACAAAATGTGTGATCGTCATGCTGGCACCAAACACCAATGTAGAGTGCATGTGAAGTATAGGCATACAATACATATGATATGACTTTGTCAAGCATTTATTTATTATTCCCTAATATTGTAACTGGGGGGGGGGAAGCATCACAAGTATTGTAGAGTATTACAATATTTTCTTATTTAAAATAAGAAAATATTGTAATCCCATGCACAAGCCAAGTTTTCGTGTCTAGTTTCTGAAAATCAATATGTATTTTTTATTTGATTTCATCATGAATTTCTTTTTGATTTTGGTTTGAAAAGCGTATTCATGTTTCTCTCTGCATTTTGATGTTGATGATTCAGGTCAAGATTGTCATCCCAAAACTTGTTATGGAGAGAAATGATTTGTTAGTAGATTTTATATGAACTGTTACATATAGTGTTGAAATCTTAGTATTAATTGTAATTTTACATGCATGGTCTACTGATAAGAAAATGTATATGAACATAATCTGTTGTTTCAGTTGTGTGACAACTCACAGGAATGTTATTATAACATTACAAACATGATGGTGTGTTCTAATGTTTCAGTTACCCATTTACAAGCAAAATAAAATATCATTTAATGTTTAGTTTGAACAGCTGAAACTTGATGAAGATAGTTTCACCAGAACTAATGACATACCGTTATAGTAATCAGGGGTTTTTATAGAAAAAAAACTGCAAGAGGGAGCACTGCAATTCAGTGGGGCCATCAAGTGGAGGAGATACATGTATGGTTCTCCCTACCAGGATGTGGAGTTTTTGATAATTCTAAGTTAAAATGGAGCATTCTATGGCTTCCTTTGGGCCAAAATTACTATCAGACAGGTCACAGTTGAAGACTGTGGCCACATGTGATCCCTGGTCATTCAGAATTTTATGGTTGCCAGAGGATCTGCTCCCCAGGGTAAGGAATGCATGGCCATGGCATGAGGGCACTGCGCCCCTGTTCCCTTGTTTAAAAAAATCCCTGGTAATGATTCAAATGACTTAGAACAAAAAAGGTTTAAAAGTGTTTTCTAGTTGCTCACTGTTCACTATATTACCATGTTAGGAATAACTTGGCTTACTCAGGTGGTGATTCTGTGCTTCTGTGTAGCATAAAATGTTTAGACTAAAAAAAATCATCCTTTTTTGTATACTTCTACCTCTTAGATGACTAAAATGATTTTGTATCTAATGCAAAGTAACAGATCACTTTAACTTGAAGCTAGATTAGATATAAACCATGTCTATTACTTTTTTCATCAGATCTGCCAAGATTTCAGACTAGCAACAAGCCACAAGTATCAGATAGTCAATCTGACCAGCTTACTGTGACCTGGAACAAATGGACTACTGATGATATTGGAGAAGGTCCAGTTGAATCTTATAAAGTATACTACAGAGAGAGTGGTGAGAGTGACTGGATATCAGGTCAAGTTATATCAGTCAGTGATTCAAGTCAGATGAGTTATACATCAACCATCACAGGATTACAATGGTCTACTCAATATGAAATTACAGTGACTGTTAAAAGACCGGGTCCACTTGGTGAAGGAAGTAAAGACACTACTATAACAGAAACTACACTGTGTGCAAGTATGTGGAATTATACTCATAATTTAATTTTATAGCTAGCTCTAGTGTATGTGTGTCATTTTTAGTTCCTGTTTGGATGCAGTGGGGACTTATGAACTTATGACTTCTGTACGTTCAGGCGTGCAAGCATTTGGACCTGTATCTTAGACATGCCTGGACCAATTACATTCAAAACTTCACACATACATGATACATAATATTATACATATGCACATCAATTTGTTTCACAATCTGATTCAAGATGGCCAAATGGCAGCCATTTTTGTACTGAAAAGTCATCAAAATCAAGTAATTCTCAGTCGTTTATGGATGGATTTTGTTCAAACTTGGTACATGTACATACATTAGACATTATGGATCCCTGATGCACGTCATTTTGTTAGTCCTCGTTCGGACACAGTCTAAAAACGGCGTCTGTGTGTGCGTGCGTGCATGCATGCATGCGTTCGGACCTGTATCTTAGAAATGCCTGGACCAATCACAATAAAACTTCACACATACATCATACAAGATATTATACATATGCACGTCAATTTGTTTCACGATCTTATTCAAAATGGCCGAATGGCAACAAAAACCGTATCCAGTCCATAAAGGTTTTATCATATACCTTATAGGAAAAAAAAGTCTTTAGTTATGTTATTTTTCGCTCGTCTGGCCCAAAAGAAAACTTATTTGATTTCATCTGGGTTTCGATTCAGGCCTTTTTACTGGCACGGATTTATACGAAAAATTTTAAACGACGCAAAAGCGTCAACATCTCTCACACAATAGACAAAAGAATGTCACTAAATATATCCACAAATAACGTTTTAATGAAACAGCAACTGAACGTAAATTTATAACTTACAATATTTTAATGCATTATAAACTTTCTTTCTTAAGAATGGGCACTACAGTCCAGCTAAGTCGGTCATTTACTGATGTTGTAGGTAGAGACATGTTGATTTCACAGTTGTTAAAAACCGTAGTCGGTGAACGAGAAACAAATGCTTGACAAGAAACAGTTTAGTTTACAGTTCGAGATTCTGGCGTAGCTCAACTAAGAATATCTGAAATGCGCCGATGATCTTCCGTT